CGCGTAGAGCAATATTACCTGTACTTCAAGCTGAAGGTGAAAGGTATTTAACTATCCAGACTAGTTCAATTCACATAGCTAAAATGCATTGAGCATTCCCATGTTTCTTTGCTTGCTTGCATTATTTAGATTTTGTCAAAGAGTGGAAGTATCTCGAGTATGAGGCTGAAGTGATAAAGGTAGGTGAAAACGTATACAATTCTGGGAGATGGATGCCCCCTGCAACCTGTGAGCTCCGTCCTGAAGTTTGGTGATACCATTTTTATCAACTCATTGTCTACAGTTGGGGTGTTTTCTGTTGATGGAAGGTTAATCTTCTTCACATCAAGCGAAATAATTTTATCTTTTGGGAAATTCAGATACCTATTTCTGTCCGGAGAGTATTATCGATACCCTGAATATTGTCATTTATTTCTTTACCTTCTACATCTTCCTCTTATTCTGAAAGTGTTAGTAAAATAATTTTAATGGAAGCTAGCACTGTTCGTTTAGGGCCAAGGTTCTCTTGATGTTTGTTTACCTTACAAAAGAATCAACTACTTTTGGTGGAATGCTGTTTTTTAAAATATATTTTCGGTCTCTACATTGCTTTGAATCTGTTTTGTAAAATTTGATTAATCAAAATATAGAAAAGTTGTTAAAGTTTTTTTTTTTTCATATTTGAAAAAGTCGTTTGATATTTGTTGTTATAAAAATTGCTGAAAATATTTCAACTTTACAATAATTAAAGCAAATTTTTCATAGCTTTGTTGACATTTTAATAGTCTAGCCAGCTACCACCATGAGTTGTTAATTTTATTTCCCGAAACCTCTCATCATTTAAAGCATCCAGATAGACTCTTGAAAAAAAAATCTTTTAGCCACGTAACCAAGGGTGTGTTAGATCGAGTCGAGTCAAAAATTTTTAGTTATTTAAGTTGACGTGTTCTATTTTATAACTTTAAGTTGGCTCGGAATTTTTTCGAATCGAGTCGAGTTTATAAAAAAATATCTTATAAATTCGAGGTATTCGACTTAAACTTGAAAATCAATCTACTAATTACTAAAAATTTTGAGTTATTCGAATTGTTTCGAGTTGAGTTTATGAAATTACAACTCAAAGTCGATTCAAGTAAAAAATTGATTTTTCAAGTCGATTTGAGTTTTGTTCATCCTACACATACTTTTTTATATATCGGGATGGACGTATAATTTTATGAAAGGGAGAGAACTTTTAAAACTCCAAGGTTGAAAATAAATTTTCAAAAAGAATACATAGAAAAAATTTAAAATATATAATTTTAATTTTAGGTGATCTTCAAGCGCATTGCTTTTGTATTAATATGAGGTGATTATATAAAATTTTCTTTATTAATAATGCACATATAATTTACAGTCATAACTTCTTTAATTTATAATTTTTTTTGGTAACAAATGGAAATTAAGCTAAAAAAACCTAAGCTATAAAGCTAAACAGCTTCTGTGCATCCTCATGCTCACAGAAGCCCCAAGTATAAACCCCAAAGTTCAGATTCTAAAACCGAGTATATGTAGAGAAATTCAACGAACCCTACTTGCCAGGTACCTACGCTGAGTCGAACCACACCCCCGCGTCCTGAATTTTTATGCTGTGCTCCATCAGAATTCACTTTAATCCACCCCCAGGTGGAAACTGCCATCTAATGTTGCTCACTGCCCCATTTTCCGTTGCAATGGTTCGACTTGCTCCCCTAGCAATTGCCCTGTACAATATTTCCAACCATTGTTTGCTTTATTTCAATACCAGTTCTTCATCCTCCAATGGACTATCGCATTCTTTTGGAGCCAAATGTTCCACACGATCGCTCCAAAGAGAATATTTCAGGTTTTAGCTTGCCCGATAAAATCTCTTGGTGTTGAGATCCTTCACGTTCATGCGCAAGAAGTCTTGCAAACGACTTTGTTTTACCACTGCGCTCCATATAAACATCACCGACAGGCAGAGTCGCAACATATGGTTGGTATCTTCCACCGGTTCTGCTCATGGGGGACAATTGCTATCAGTAGTGATGTCTTTTTCGACATTCAACGTTGACGATCCTTTAACGGAATAATATTTTTTATTTTTATTAAAAAACAATCGCTTTATGAATTTAAAAAATAACATATAACATTTAGGAAGAATAAGCGCTTTATGGATTAAAAAAAAGAGTCACAACTAACTAAAGAAGTCGGTGGTCTTAATTATAAGAAACTTTCGCCTTTTAGGTTTAGCAGCCTTCCTTTGTTGAAAGAAAGAGGCCGCCCCTTTTGAAGATGCATTTAGGAATACATTCCACGTCCCTTTGCAAAATATAATCATAATATAGTTAAAGTTTGGGGTTAAAGTAATAGTATTAAAAATATTTAATTGATAATTTTATATTAATTTAGAGTTAACTTCATCATATATCTCCAAACTATAACCTTTATTCTAAATTAGTCCTTAAACTTTTGAATATTCTAATTTCATCCCCAAATCATATAAATATGTAATTAGTTTCATCACAGTTTAAACTAATTTTTTAAAACATATAATAATATAACTTGACCTAACAATTTTATTAACGAGGTTGTAATTAGTATATATGAATAGTTTGGGATAAATTTAGAATGTTCAAAAAGTTTAAGGACCAATTTAGAATGAAGGTCGTGTTTGAGAATGACATTGAATTGTTTAGAGTTTTAAGGACTAAATGATAATCATAGTTTAGGGATGAAATTAAAATATTTAAAAGTTTAGGATCAATTTAAAATGAGGGAAATACTTTGAGGACATTATAATTAACTCTTTAATTTACTAAAATACATGCTAGCTAAATAGTATCTAATTATTTCATTATTATATAAAAAATTTCAAACTAAAATTGTTTATTTAATTAATAAAAATATTATCAAAATAAAAAATGTATTGATTAATTTTTAAATATTAATAAAATCATTTTATAGAAATTATATTTATTAATAAAATAAATCAATAAAAATTCAAATGATAATATATCATTTTAAGAGTAATATGATCTAAAATATTAAATTATTTTATTAAAAAATAGTTGAAAATGTATTTTATAGTTTTAATAAATAGTATATAATTATTAATAATATAATATTATTAATTAAGAAAGTATTTATAAATTAAAGGTAGTGTTCAAACTAAATTTATTTTTCTGTTTAAGTGTACAAACTTTTCATTGGTCAATGTTAGTGCGTAACATTTTCGATGTCATTTTAAGTGTATGGTTTGTCACGATCATTAAGAAAATTAATTAAAAATTAGTTAATCAATCAGTGTTTAATACTTGACCTAATTTTTTATTTTTTTAAATTAAAATAAATAAATTTTATATATGAAAAAACTCAAATTTTCCTTTTTTTAATACCTTAAATTCATAAAACTAAAAAAATCCATGAAATTATGTCGTCAGCCACCATTACCGTTAGGGTGCATTTGGTTCACGGAATGTAAGATTACCAGTGGGAATAAAAGATTACCAGGGAATAGGATTACTGAGAATGTTAAATTATTGTGTTTGGTTGGTTTGACAGGAATGTAAGATTACAGTGTTTGGTTGAAGGAATAAAATATTACTGAAATGTATATTTTACCAAATTGTCCTTGTTCTATATTTGTTTTTTTAACAAGCGAAATTTTAAATATTTAAATAAAAATATTTATATAAAAATTCTATTTGTTGATAATATATTATTTGAGAATTTAAATATATCATGCATTATTTTAATTTTAATTAATATTAAATTTTATATAATTTATGTAAAAATATATTAAAATTTTACATCAACATTTAACTAAATGAAATGTTTACATTGTGGAAATTCTTCATAGATATTTATAATAATAAAAAGATGTAAATTATTTTGTTATCTACGATATAATATTTATTATATCTTTTATATACAATAATTTATTTATTTTTCTTTTATATTTATACTTAATTCTGCATTCTTTATCATTATTATTTATCTCATTAATTTATATTACAAAAACATAATTCAAATAAGTAAGAAAATATAACACTAAAAATCATATTATTTATAATTTTATATTTCACCGTCATTCATCATTATATTTGCTAATATTTTAATAAAATTATTAATACTCAGTCCTAATCTGATTTGTACTCAACTCTTGATTACGAAAAGCAAGCAACCCAATAATTCATGTTTCCAACCTATAATTTCTCTCCGAACATACAAAAACCGACAGAGGCAAAACTTTGAACATATTATACCGTTAATTTCTTTCATCAATATATGCTGATCTACATCCACATTTAAGCTATAATCAATCACATAAATAAAGGTTCATCAAGAAATATAATCTCAATATTGTAAACATAAAACTAATGCAAATCACTTGCCGAGAAATCAGACTCTCGCAATAGTGTTCCACTGCTTCAACATTGAACCAGTTCTTTATCATCAGCAATGTAAAATGGGCAATTAATACTTATAATCCACATTTGAAAAAATATGCTTCATAAATGAAACGAGATTGAGGTCTGATGAAGACTTCCTCTTCGAGCAGACAAAGCCACGAAATGATATCGGTCAAAATATATATTGAATCCTTGGACATCATAATGAGTTCCATGATTAATCTGGTATGAGAATGCTTTTGCAGTTTGATTTCGTTGTGCATGTTTTAAATATACTTAGTTGTTATGAAGACAAGTTCTTTAAAAAAAATGCATTCTCTAATGCAGGAGTAGTATAACAAGACCATGTTGATAGATGGGAAATGTGGATTTGATGCATTCCCCCTAGGCCATGTATATGACAGTTATTGTGATCGAAGAACTCATCGTGTTTGTATGGATGTTGAAAACATTTATAAACATAATTTCAGTACATATAACACTTGATTACATGTGAAATATAAATATATATATACACACACAGTAGTATAGTATGACAGTTAAAACAGTTGAAAATGAAGAAGGGAGGGAGAGATTCTGGGGGCTTTTGCCCCAACAAGATTTAACCAAGCGTTGCCTGTTTGCAAGAATCTTTCTAGCCTAGGATAATTGAATGGACCACACGCAGTGTTTATTCCCCTCCCCAACCCATTTGACGAGCTCGTTGCTCCCACAATGTCGTAACTTTTCCTCTCCCTGATTAGCGAGGCCTCGACTCGCTCTCTTTCTTCCTCACAGGTTTCGGTGGATGTGATGCATTTCTCCACCTCCTTTTGGTACTGGGAAGCCACCCTTTTCGCTTCACCAAAGGTGATATTCATAAGGTGGGAATGCTCTTCGGCAACAGCCTCCTGCAACTTTAACTCCTCCGTCAGAAGGTCCACAAATTGTTTCTCCATCTCTTGTTTGATATCAGTGTCACTGCTTCTGCAATCTGTGTTGTCATAGCTCGATTCAGGCATACATGATTTTCAATTAAAAAGTTAAATACAAAGAAATAAGTTAACCAATTTGAGAGAATAATCTCCAACCTGAGACAGAGAGATATCTCAATCCTGTAAAAGAAGAACAAAATCACAAAAGATATACATAGTGATAACCTATGTTTCGAGTAGCAAGCACATGAACACTTGAAAAACTTTTTACAGTTGCCACTGAGACAAGAGGAAACACGAAACAAGGAAAACCAATAACATAAATGCATAAGTAGCAAACACATGAACACTAGACACTTTTTACAATTGCCGCTGAGACAAGCGGAAACACGAAACAAGGAAAAGTAACAGCATAAATGCATAAGAAGCTTCAGATTTGACATGATAATATAGTCCAAACACGAGAAGTTGTAACATTAGATGTGAAAGAAATGAAGTTAGTTTACAAATATAACAATCCAACCAGCTTATTTAACAAGTTGTGCTATGATGTACATCAAGTCATTTCAGAGAAACGTAAAGACCTTTTCACCGTCCTTGACGTAAAACCTGGAGAAGGATCAAAATCACTAGACAAAGGGAACTGATATTCTTTCCTATGATATGTTATTGCATGGTTAGTAAGCCCAAGAATCCAGAAAGGTCATTACCTAACTCAACATACTTCCTGGCATACAAATCGGATATTCATATAAAAATGGCAATCTTCATTCAAGTATCAACAGAGTTATAGTGCACATAGAAATGGACATAGTGCTTGGGTGCAGAGGCTCGTATCCGACATGCGAGGTATCATCTGATTCGAGCCGAAATTATTTACAATTTTGTCACACAAGAGCTACCTCTTGTGAGATTGGGTGTTCCATAATACAACATCAACTCAACTCAATATGTGATTAAGCAAGTACAAATCTGAATTCAAATTTGGGTTTACTTGCATATCAACAACCAAGCAGAGACATCAACAGCAACAATAGATCAAAACCCCAAATTATAGAAACAAGAACTTCACAAAGAATAACAAGCAAATATAAACCCAAATCAAGAACCAGTGTAACATAACATTCCCAAAGCTCAGAAATGAAAAATTAGCAAACAAAAAGCAGATCAAGACTTTAAATTTCCCAAAATGGGTAATCCTTAACTACAAACCAAAATTCGACAACAACCCAGAATCAGAAAAATGAAGTAAACATAAAACTAACGTAAATCACTTGCCGAGGAATCATGCATCTCGCAAAAGTATTTTTCTTCATTTTTATATGCAAAAGATTTGATTTTGAGTCTACGTCTAGAAGGTGAATATTATAAGAGATTAGAAAAAAGAAGAAGAAGGCGGTGATGAATCAGAACGCGTTTGTTGAAGCCATAGAATCATATAACACGAACGAAAACAGAAAACAGAACAAACCCAGATTTCATATAAAACGATGAATTTCATTGCTGAGAAAATAAAACAAAGGGAGTGAGAAGAAATCTTACCAGGAGAATGGGAAAATAAAATTTTTCGCAGAGGCAAGCTCGAAGAAGAATATATGCAGAGACAAACGGGGAAACGAAGGGTATTTTAGCCCTTAACACGGGAATGAAAAAATACCTAAGATACATGTGGGAATAACATTCCATGAATAAATACCCCAACATATACTGTTGGTATTAAAAGATTACCCTCACTTAGGAATCTTACCCAACCAAACATGGACATCATTAATCAGGAAAAAAAATGATGGCCGGGAATGATAGAATCCTTGATCCAAACACACTCTTAGAGATCACCCACTGACCTATCGACCATCATCTGCAGCCCCACACAAATGAATTTGAGTCTTAGAATTTAATGATTTAGGGACTGAGGCTACGATAATGGGATGATCCATTGACGATAAGTGGGTAGGAGCTTATTGGGGTGACAGTGATGGGAGACGACCGATGAGTGAGGTTGTTGCTTTAAAATTAAAAATTTTTGGACTTGTTTGAGATTCTAGAAAAATTAATTTTTAAGTAATAATAAGTTTAAGTTTCTTAAAAAAATTTTAAAATTTTATAAACGAGCCACATATAGGGATGGGCATGGGTCGGGTTTTGGTCAACTCGATCCGACCCGAAAAATTTTACATCCTTCACCCGACCCGACGCGAAAAATATATACTCTCCACCGACCCGAATCCTATTTTTTGAGATAAAATCTAAATCCGATTCGACCCAACCCAAAATAATAAAAAAATATGATTTTTCAATAAAAATAATGATTTAATTGAAAAAAATAATATATATGGGGTATTATTATAATTATTCCTAAACATATAAGGTAAAATTATATTTTTTACAGGGTCGGATCGGATTTTTTTACCCTAAACATGAATCCAATGCGACTTGAACATTACCTTTAAAAAATTGACCCGACCCAACCCGAACCCGAAATTAAAAAAAAAACTGAGCCGATCAGGTCAAAATGGGTCGGAACTCATTGGGTTCGGGTTCATGTCTATCCCTAATCACATCATATTTTGAGTGGTTGATTGATTTTTAATGAACTTTTTTTTAAAAATCATGATAGAAAAAAATTAAAATGATAATGAAAAAATATTTAACATCAATATTAATTAAAAAAACTTAGACACCTAAATGAAAAAAGAATATAATTTGAGAATTTTTTTAACCTAATCCTAAAATAAACACGTAAATATTTAAAAAATACTAATGTCTCAAATAATAAACAATTCCTCTAACAAGCGCGCTTTAGATTTAAACTTTCCTAAAAGAAAGAGCCAACCTTCTTTTAAAAAAAACGCAACTAGGAATAAATTTTCACTTACTTTTCAAATTGCAATCCAAATATAGTTTAATGTTGGATTAAAGTAATATTAAAATGTTTATGTAGATGCTCGATTTGTCCGGGGTCTTATTCGAAGTTAATTCGAATTTATTATTATTAATATTGTTATAAGAAATTATTAATATATATATATATATATGCATTAAGTAATTAAATAAATAAACAATTAAAATACACTAAATAAACGTTTTTGTTTACAGGCCCAAATTAATACAAATTACAATAGGCCCGAGCCAATTAAGTTCAGCTGCCCAACACCAGGCCCGAATGCCGTGAGTCTAGATCTGTAGCCCATTTGGAGAAACGCTAGGCCTATTAGGGTTTCCAGCTTCTGTCCAGGTTCCCGCCGCCGTTCATCCTGGACCGTTGGATCTACTTCTAATCTAACGGTCCAGATCAAAGGACCATTAGGGTTTCATAACCCTTCAGCACGAGAACCATCGGATCTGGACCAATCCAACGGTCCAGATCGAGCCTCTATCGACCGCTCATCTCCACCAGTCAGCTTCCATCGACTGCGCAAACTCACAGAGCACTCCCAGATCTGTCAACCACCCCCGTGACCAGCTCGCGCCCGTGACCTGCAAACGCACCAAACAAGAAACAGAACACGATGAAGCAAAAAAGTCTATCAACTAGAAATAAGGAGGGAACACAAAAACAAAAGGGGGAACCCATCAACAACAGAGAAGAAAGAAAGGAAACACCAATCTCTCAGTCATCAAAAAAACAACAGAGAATACAACCCCAAAAGAACACAAAACGAAATACCCAGAAACCAGCAACCATAGAACACAAACCCAACGCAAGACACTTACCCTTTCGATCCAGTAACTTTCGTCACTAGGAATCCACACCCCGTCTGCGATAAGGTAAAACCTTTCGCTTCCCGATCATTTTGAGTCGTGCATGTCAGTTTTAGGTCTCGAGCTTTAGGGATTTGAAGGGTTCGGTGTAGATTTGGTCATATGTTGGCCGGGTAGTGGGATGGTGGCTCTCATCGGAGTCTTTTGGGGAAGGAAAAAGGTCGCGGTGGTCGTGGTTTTTTGTAGGTCTACTGGAGAGTGAAACAGAGTGGGTTTCGAGGGTTTGGTTTGAGTCTCGGGTTAGGGTCGTGTTTATTTTAGGAAGAGTTCGGTTGGGGTTGTCGTTGGGGCTTACGAGCTCCTCATCGGAGCGTAGAACGGCGGAGCCATGGAGGCTCTGGGTTTCGTCGAGGGTTAAGAATGAGAGGGGAGAGAAAACCAGAGAGAAGTGGCGAGTGTCTGGCAAGGGTTGAGAGGATAAATGATTTAGGTAAAAAAATATTATCCTAAGTATCATATATATTCAATAACCAAAACGGCGTCGTTTAAAATAGGGCCAAAACGGCATCGTCTTAAGCTTGGGGGAGATAAACCGCGTTTAGGGTAAATGTGTTAATTTAGTTGTTGGTTTTTGTGTTTTGAATTGTTTCATTTGGGTCACCAGATCGAAATCTCTATGTTTTTAATTTGGTCTGTATTTTGTAAGCGTATTTTGTTTTAGTCCCCAGTTTATGCTATTTTTCTTTCTTTCTTTGTTCTCACATTTAGCCTGTAATTTCTGTTATTTGACAATTTAATCCTAGTGGATTCGTTTGAATTAGTGATCAGTCTGTATTTTGGTTGCCTAATTTTGGTTTTTTTCATTTTAGTCATGTATGGTAGTGTTAAATTTAAAATTGAGTTTTTAGCAGCATATTTAATTGTGTTTTAAGTAATGACATTTATTTAAATATGTTGCTTGTGGTATGTGCATTTTGTTATGCATGTATATATTATATAATTATATTTTAATTTCAGCCTTAAGTGAATGAGATTAATGTTATATTTGAAGTTATTAATTGGTAGCAAAAGAGATATTAGTTGCATGCTAGTTGTACCATATTAAGTTTGATTTTTTATTATATAGTTATGATTGCATTTTAGACTCTATGTTCATTTAAATCCTAGTCTCTTTTACACTCGGTTATATTAATTAATTAATTTTGTAATAAGATAGGTTTAAAACATTAAGAATAAAAAATTCCTTTGTAAAGTGGATAACCATAAATGCATGTAAATATTTTATTTAGATGTTTATTAGAATGTGTGGCGTTATATAATTAGTTTTTGCATGACATCCTTTTGCATAATTTGCATGTTAGCCTCATGTGCATAACTCAACCATATGACATAATTGGATTAAGGGTAATACTCTCTTAATTTAAATTCATTTTAAATGGGCTGTCTTGACTATTAGAGGTCCGCTTCTAACGATTTTAAATTAAAAGTGTATCCCATTAGTGACGCCTAAAATTGATTTATCACTTTAAAATTTGGGAACGGAAGAAAAAGAAATATTCGGTTATTTAAATTTATCGAGAAAAGATAGTTAGAACTTATTTAAGATCTGGTCTCGATGCTTTTAAATAATCGAATATTCTTTATCTTTCTAAAGGTCGGGTAATTTTAATTTAATCTGCTTGGGTGTTTATGAATGTTGTAAACACGTATGTTATTTTTCTGTTAGGGATCATAAATCAAATTAAATTCGAATTTGTAAAGTTCATTGCAAAGACGCTAATTAATCGATTAGGTACCGATTTAGGGCGTTGTGGGGGTGTTAATCATTCCCCACACGTAACCGACTCCCAAACTCATTTTTTTGGTAACGCAGACCTCAATTTGTTGTTTTAATTAAAATTAATTTTTATTTAAAATGACAAAGCATTTTTGGGTGCCCAATCACACCCTAATCAAATATTGGTGGCGACTCTTCGAACCTGCGTTTTTATCGTGAAGAAATTTCCAAATTTTTAAAATAAGAGGTTTTCTAAAATCGCATTGTTTTTAATTAAAAAATTCAATCGTAAAGAAAATAATTAAAAATGAAGTGATTTTTCAAAATCTCGCTCCCCCTAGAAAAAAATCGTTTCGACAGCTTGGCGACTCCGCTGGGGACTTTTTTTAGAGAGTCAGGCCGATAGTCGATTAATTAATCGTCTTTGCAAGAGAAAGTTATAAATTCGTTCTAATTTGGTTTGTGATCCCTTGTTTGGTTTTTAAATTTTTAATTTGATTAACCTATAAATAGTTGTACTGATCTGTTTGCTATTGGTTTCAGATTAATTATTGTGGAAAGAGGTGATTGATTTTTTGAGTGTTTTGTGATATTATGTTATTTTATTTTTTTTTGCTTTTCCTCACACACTGCACAGTTGCATTTGCATAACATGAGCTAAAACCCCGCTCCATCCTATTTAAGTAGGAGTGAGAGACTACTCCCTCGTGTGGTTTTCACCTCCGCATGGGATAGTGGATCACTCCTGGAGCTCACGCCTTATGGTCCTCGTGATGGTATTCACCTCCGCACGGACATAAGGAGGTGTGTTCCCTCGAAATTGAACTCAGTCCTAAAAGCCTGTGATGGGCCATGATTGAGGGTTCGGCATCCCAAGGGGGCACCGACAAGGACAATTCGAGAACCTAATACTTTAGAACTGAACCCAACATATAGTGAATATAGAGCCTGAGCTTAGGTCGAGCCTAACCCAAACCTTAAAGAATCCCTTGAGGAGTGTACACAAGGAAAAGCTTTTTGGGTCATTTATTTTCGTTTTGTGAATAAATGCATGCGATATCATATCGGGTAGGATCTATTAAGCATGATTGGGTAGTCAACACGTGAGGGTAGGTTTTATTTAATGATTATGATGTTTATTATTTTGTTGTTTATATTATGTGTACTAACCTATTTTGGTTTTATGTCTATTTTATTTAAGATTTATTGCATTTGCATCTTCATGTCATCCAAAGGTATTAATTCACAAGTGATTGACTAATAAGAAGGCTGGTCGTAATGAGACAAGAAATTCTTAACCATGTAATCAAAATCGGGAGATCCAGAGGCATTCAGATGATTCATGAAGAAGGACATCCGATGAATGAAGAAATTTGAAACTGATTGAAGACCGATCCACGAAGAAAGACATCCTGAAGATGTTCCCTCAGGAGATAGATGCAGTAATGCCAAGGACGAGAAGACCCTTCACAAAGACGTGAAGACCACTTTGCATTGAAAGTGAAGATAGAGATCCCAAGATTCAATTTAAGGACATCCGACGTCATCAGAGGTGATAAAATACGTCGATAATTTTGGAGGGGCAATGTCATATTCCATTAAGAGTACAAGTCAAGGAAATGAAGAGATGGAGAATCACAATTTTATTTTGATTACATGGTGTAATTAAATCTTGTTGTCTAAATGAAGGTTGTTCTATGGTGGTCACTTTTTGAATTAATACCTTTTACATTTGCATTTGGCATCCACATTTGCATTCGCATTGCTTTTTTTTATGCATTTTTACATGCATCAATCATGAAAACATGAGAGTAACTCGTGAAGGAACTGTGGCAGAGAAATACTGGGAAAGTCCAAGCATCACTATAATACAAGGGAGAGAGCCATGGAAGAAAGGATTGCTCAAATTGAAAAAATTCAACTGCAGTTGCAAGATGATCTAAGGAAAATGCAAGAGGACATGCTTAAGGCTCAAGAAGATATGTTGTCTAAGTTGGCAAGTTTGTTGGAAGGGAGAAACCCAGAACATAGAAAGGCCCCTGAGCAAATGACTGGAGAACCACTTTATCCTCCAGGGTTTACCCCAGCACAGTCTCAAAATGTCCAAGGAACGTCTGTCCCTACCAAAGTGAACATAAATCCTGTCGGCGTTGCTGTGAATCTTCAACCAGGACCTAGTTCGCACCCCGAAGAAAGTCCCTGTTGCCAAGTCCCAAACCTTGATGAAAAGGCCAAAAAGAATGAACACAAACAATTTTGGGAACAATACGAACAGTTAGCAAGTGAAGTCCAGGTTATGAAGGAAGGCACCAGTATGTATCGACTGGACGCTAAAGAGTTTAGTCTAGTTCCTGATTTAGTCCTGCCTCCAAAATTCAAAACTCCCGACTTCGAGAAATTCGACGGTACTAGATGCCCTTCCACCCATATTACAATGTTATACAGGAAAATGACTGGGTACATAGGGGACGATCAGCTGTTGATCCATTGTTTCCAAGAAAGCTTGACAGGCTCAACATTGCGATGGTATAACCAACTAAAAAAACTGATATTAGGTCATGGAAAGACCTTGCTAAATCATTCCTCGACCAGTATGAACATGTGAAAGATGTCAGGCCTAACAGATTGGTGTTGCAAGGAATGGAGAAGAAGCACGTGAAAGTTTCAGACAATATGCTCAGAGATGGAGGGAGGTAGCAGTGCAAGTGCACCCACCATTGGAAGAAGGGGAAACAAATATGCTTTTCATTAGTACTTTGAAGGCTCCTTTTCTCTCACACCTTATCGGTAATCCTTCCCAAAGTTTCTTTGATATAGTTACGATAGGAGAAATGATCGAAATGGCGATTAAAAGCGGGAAGCTCGAGGGAGGAGAGTCCAACAACAAACCGCCGATAAAGAAAAAAGAAAGCGAAGTCGCCCACGTGAGTCAGTACGATTCCAGTAACATCACAATGTCT